ATGCCCTTGTGAAAATTGAGTCGTGAGAATTTGGAGCTCAGAACTGAAGAAGTAAAGTGGTGTGTCGAACACACAACTGTTGATTTCTTGCTCGAGCCGCCGGCGTACACTTTACGTTCGTTCCCCTCCAACTCGGTCTGTTTCTAGGGTGATATAGGACAACAGGGACCGCCCGGCCCTCCTGGGCCTCGCGAGTTTACGGGAAGTGGGTCGATTGTAGGTCCGCGCGGAAACACAGGAGAAAAAGGATTAAAGGTACTTACATTTATATTTTTTAGGGAGACGTGGGAGCTCAAGGGCCACGGGGACCTCCCGGTCCTATTGCGTCCACTATGGCGAAGGGAACGATAGTCGGTCCCAAGGGAGATGTAGGAGAGAAGGGAGAAAAGGCAAGAGCCGCGTAAACTAACCTGAGAGCTAACCTTTCGCTTCCCTATCGCTCTTCAATTTTTCGCATGCACCGCTTTTTCTTTTCACTCATAGTCGAGTTATAGTTTATTAGTTTCCTTCTCTCACATCTCATCCTTCATGAGGATGTTGATGGTTTTCGTAGCCTTAGTTCGATTAGTTCTGTGGTATGGCGTGATAGCTTTTGTTGGTGTGGAGAGCTTCAGTTGGCATGAACCTATTCCTTGTTTGACTGGAAGTATATGTCTAAAAATTTAGGGAGAGCCAGGCGAGGCTGGTCCTCGGGGCTACCCTGGAAACGCTGGATTGCCTGGTCAACCAGGTCTTCCCGGAATGAAGGGAGAAAAAGGACTGTCTGGACCAGCGGGACCTAGGGTTTGTCATATAATTACACCTGCCAGAACCCTCTTCTGCTTTCATCATTGCGGAGATATTTTCAGGGCAAAGAAGGACGACCCGGAAATCCTGGTCCCCCTGGATTCAAAGGTGATCGTGGTCTTGACGGAGTGCCAGGTTTCCCTGGTTTGCCCGGACAAAAAGGTGAAGCTGGCTATCCCGGAAGAGATGGACCCAAAGGAAATCAAGGACCTCCTGGACCACCTGGAGTAAGTTAGAG